TGTGCCTGGGACCCAGCTCCCCTTACTTTAATTCAGAATAATGTCCCACCCAGGAGCCCACAGTGGTGACACTGCAACTGGATCTCTGCTCATATCAGAACAGATCACCACAGCCACACACTCCTAGGAAGTCCTATTCTCTCAACAAGTATTAATTCAGTGTGTGTAGCAGAAACCCAAATAATAGTGATCTAAACAGGATGGAAGAGTTTCCTATGATAGTGAGGCAGGCAGTTCCAGGACTGCTAGAGGGGTTCTGTACCACAAAAGTATCCAGGCATCCAGGGTTCCTACGACCTACCTTCGTTCTCTGCTTTTCCTGGGGTGGTGCCCTTATTGGGATGACCCAAGGCACCTGAAGGTAGTCATGGCCAAGTGGTTAAGGCGATGGACTTGAAATCCACTGGGGTTTCCCCACGCAGGTTCGAATTCTGCCAACTACGGTTTTATCTACACAAGGAAGGTACCGAAGACTCTCACCTTCATGCCACAATCAACTGAAACCGCTCAGTAGTCAGTCAAGTCACTCTTGGGCCAAACAACCTAACCTCCAGTTCCATTTGGTCTTGGTCATCTGGTGGCTCAGACAGTAAGAATCCGCCTGCAATGCGATAGACCTAGGTTTGATCCCTGGGTTGGGAAGACCCCCTGGAGGAGGGCATGGCAACCCACTCCAATATTCTTGCCTGGAGAATCCCCATGGACAGAGGAACCTAGCGGACTACAGTTCATGGTGTCGTAAAGAGTCGGACATGACTAAGCAACTACGCACAAGGTACCTCAGACCATGTTCATGGTCCATAAGCAACCAGAGCAGGAGAGGAGGAGAGGGGAAGCCCTTTAAAGGCAGAATGGAATACTTAGTATCTGGGTCATCGTATTGATCATAATTTAGTCACACAGACATGGTTAAATTCAAGAAAGGCTGGAGAATGGATAGTTTTTAATCTGGGTGACTTTGTTCCCCAATAAAACCATTATTATGGAATAAGGATGGTTTTTGTTATACTTGGTAAATTTTTAAAAACCAAGAATGTCATAATTTTTATCTTAAACTAAATCAGATTTGCCTGTAAAAAAAATTGAATATTTTCAGAATATATTTTAAATTGAAAAACAAAGGTTCAGATAGAACGTGTAGTAAAATGACACCTGATAAAAAGGGAAATCTCCCTCTATAACACTATAGAAACCAGCAACAGTGGTTGGGTCCAGGAAGAAAATCTGGAAAAAACTGTAGATGGATAGGAGAGAAAATTTTACTTTTCACTGTATACACTTTTAATTATTTGAGATTTTTCAAACTTGTGCTTGTGATAGCTTATGGTGAACGATGTCAGATTCGTGATCGCTGAAGATTTAACTTCGGGACCAGAGACCAAGCTTGACCACTCAGGGCTCTTGTGTGGCAGAAGTTTGATTATAGTGAAAAGGGGCAGAGAAAGCTTCTGACACAGATGTCAGAAGCCAGACAGAGAGTGCCCCCATCACTAGTGTTAGCAAGGGAATTATATACTTTTTTTTTTTGACTCAACAACAACTGTTGGCTTACTTTTCTTTTTCATTTATTTTTATTAGTTGGGGGCTAATTACTTTACAATATTTTAGTGGTTTTTGTCACACACTGACGTGAATCAGCCATGGATTTACATGTGTTCCCCATTCTGAATCCCCCTCCCACCTCCCTCCCCCAGTGTTCATCACAGCACTGTTTATAATAGCCAGGACATGGAAGCAACCTAGATGCCCATCAGCAGACGAATGGATAAGAACGCTATGGTACATATACACAATGGAATATTACTCAGCCATTAAAAAGAATATATACTTTTAAAATTAGTTATTACAATAAATCAAAAGAATGTCTCAAGCTTGTAAAAATTTTACCAGACCCACTCCTACAACTTACATTTTAGGATAACAGGATTAGAATTTAACAATAGCAAGATCCTACCAGACCCACTCCCATAGTATACATTCTAAGATATCAGGATTAGTCAGGTTTTCAGGAAGGACAAACTGTCCTCAAGCAGGATACATCATTGTTATATAATCCCTAGTACAGAGTGACTTCCCTGATGGCTCAGACGGTAAGGCGTCTGCCTACAGTGCAGGAGACCGAGGTTCGATCCCTGGGTCGGGAAGATCTCCTGGAGAAGGAAATGGCAACACACTCCAGTATTCTTGCCTGGAAAATCCCGTGGATGGAAGAACCTGGTAGGCTATAGGGGGTCCTTGGGGTTGCAAAGAGTCGGACATGACTGAGCGACTTCACTTTCACAGAGTTTAAACTGAGTTGTTTGTTGTGTAATCAGGGCTACTCTCTAGTTGCGGTGCTTGGGCTTCTCAGTGCAGTGGCTCCTCTTGTTGTGGAGCACAGGCTCCAGGATGTGTGAGCTCAGTAGTTGCAGCACACCAGCTTAGTTGCTCCGTGGCATGTGGGATCTTCTTGGACCGGAGATCAAACAGGTGGCCCCCATGTGGCAAGGCGGATTCTTAACTGCTGGACAACCAGGGAAGCCTGTATGTCTTCTGTGGAGAAATGTCTTCTGCCTATTTTTCGGTTGGGAATGTGTTTTATGATACTGAGTTGTATGAGTTGTTTGTATATTTTGTATACTAACTTCTTGTCAATCACATCCTTTGCAAATATTTTCTCCCATTCTGATGACTATTTTTTTCATTTCATTGATGGTTTCCTTTGTTATCCAAAAGCTTTTAAGTTTAATTAGGTCCCACACAATTGCATTCACCTCACACGCTAGTAAAGTAATGCGCAAAATTCTCCAAGCCGGGCTTCAGCAATACATGAACTGAGAACTTCCAGATGTTCAAGCTGTGTTTTAGAGAAGGCAGAGGAACCATAGATCAAATTGCCAACATCTGTTGGATCATTGAAAAAGCAAGAGAGTTCCAGAAAAACATCTATTTCTGCTTTATTGACTATGCCAAAGCCTTTGACTGTGAGGATCACAATAAACCGTGGAAAATTCTGAAAGAGATGGGAATACCAGACCACCTGACCTGCCTCTTGAGAAACCTGTATGCAGATCAGGAAGCAACAGCTAGAACTGGACGTGGAACAACAGACTGGTTCCAAATAGGAAAAGGAGTACATCAAGGCTGTATATTGTCACCCTGCTTATTTAACTTATATGCAGAGTACATCATGAGAAACACTGGGCTGGAAGAAGCACAACCTGGAATCAAGATTGCAGGAAGAAATATCAATAACCTCAGATATGCAGATGACACCACCCTTATGGCAGAAAGCAAAGAAGAACTGAAGAGCCTCTTGATAAAGTAAAAGAGGAGAGTGAAAAAGTTGTCTTAGAGCTCAACATTTAGAAAACTAAGATCATGGCATCTGGTCCTATTACTTCATGGCAAATAGATGAGGAAACAGTGAAACAGTGTCAGACTTTATTTTCTGGGGCTCCAAAATCACTGCAGATGGTGACTGCAACCATGAAATTAAAAGACGCTTACACCTTGGAAGGAAAGCTATGACCAACCTAGACAGCATATTAAAAAGCAGAGGCATTACTTTGCCAACATAAGTCCGTCTAGTCAAGGCTATGGTTTTTCCAGTAGTCATGTATGGATGTGAGAGTTGGACTATAAAGAAAACTGAGCACTGAAGAATTGATGCTTTCGAACTGTGGTGTTGGAGAAGACTCTTGAGAGTCCCTTGGACTGCAAGGAGATCCAATCAGTCCATCCTAAAGGAGATCAGTCCTGGGTGTTCAGTGGAAGGAGTGATGCTGAAGCTGAAACTCGCAATCCTTTGGCCACCTGATTCAAAGAGCTGACTCATTTGAAAAGACTAGTTGTCTGACTCTTTGCGACCCCATGAACCATAGCACACCAGGTCTCCCTGGCATCACCGACTCAATGGACATGAGTCTGAGTAAACTCCAGAGTTGGTGATGGACAGGGAGGCCTGGTATGCTGTGGTTCATGGCGTTGCAAAGAGTCAGACACAACTGAGCAACTGAACTGAACAGACTAATCTAAGAAAATACTGCTATGATTTATGTCCAAGTATGTTTTGCTTATCGGAGAAGGCAATGGCACCCCACTTAGTACTCTTGCCTGGAAAATCCCATGGACAGAGGAGCCTGGTAGGCTGCAGTCCATGGGGTCGCGAAGAGTCGGACACGACTGAGCGACTTCACTTTCACTTTTCACTTTCATGCTTTGGAGAAGGAAATGGCAACGCACTCCAGTGTTCTTGGCTGGAGAATCCCAGGGACGGTAGAGCCTGGTGGGTTGCCGTCTATGGGGTCACACAGAGTTGGTCACGACTGAAGTGACTTAGCAGCAGCAGCAGCATGTTTTGCTTATAGTCTCTTCTAAGAGATATATGGTGTCAAGTATTGCACTTAGTTCTTTAAACCATTTTAAATTTATTTTTGCATATATTGTGAGAGAATGCTCTAATTTCATTGATTTACATGAAGCTGTCGAGCTTTCCCATGTGCTGGGAGGTTTTTGATTATTGATTCAGTCTTCTTACCTGTTATTGACCTGTTCAGCTACTCTGTTTCTTCATGATTCTGTCTTGGTAGGTTGTGTTCATCCACTTCTTCTAGTTCCTCCAGTTTGTTTGCTGTATAATCATTCATAGTCATCTTTCATACTCCTTTGTATTTCTGTGATATCAGCTGCAACATGAAAGAGTCTTGAAAGACAGACTACATCCTTCCATGAGAGAGAGGAAAACTCAGTTCCCCAAATATACAGCTGGGAAAGATGAGGAACTCTTAGTCACACGACACATGCTGAGTTGTGACTCAGGACATAATGACACATATTTGCCGGGTGTGTGCTCAAGGCTTTTGGCAAAGGTGGTGAGTGGCAGTAGTGACATTCAGTTGCCAAGAGCAATAGTGATAGCAGTTCCTGCCACATAGCTGAGTGTCCAGCATCAGGGGTGTCGTCATAAAAAAGGCAACTGTGCCCAGCAACAGAGCAGTGGTTCCTGTATGTAATTCAGTTTAGAATGACATCACGAATTTTGTTCCTGAATGTGCTGACTCAGTTCCTGAAATAAAATGAGCCAAGTATGTAAGCATATGTACACACACATACACACACACACACACACACATATACATTTTTAAATTAGAAAAACTTGGAATGCATTGATTGCACCAAGATGTGAGTGAGAAGTCAACGCAGGGAATAGTTTCAGAGAATAACCATTCAGAGATGTTCTTTATGCTGAGCTGATAACCACTTCCTCAGTTTTCCACCTGGCTATATATCCCAGGGTAGGGCAAACAACATAAATGTCCCAGCAGATGTCTTGTTTTTTTCTTCCCAGGAAAAAATTTAATTGTAGATTTAAGACGCTTCCCCAACCTGAGCGCTCTGATCACTGACCCTTGGCAGTCGTCCACAACCTGGCTAAGACCTAAGACTGCTTATAGGTACTGCTGCAAAATACTCAAGCCTCTCCCTAGACCCACCATCTCAGAAAGCTGAGCACAGAGCCCAAGACTTGCTTATTCAACAAGCCTACAGGTGAGGCTGATGAACAGCCATGTGGGAATCCTGCTCTATGTTCTTGCTACTAAATGTGTGCTCTGAAGATGAGCAGCATCAGCACCAACCTTGTTATAAGTTCGGATTCTTACATTCTACTTTGGACCACTGGAACTTAATGAGATGTCCAGGGAATTCTCATGCACAGGTAAGTCGGGGACTAACTGGTCTCTGTGCTGTCTAGACATGTGTCAGAATCGTGCAGTCTGCTCAGGTGCATGATCCGATCAGACTGTATAGTGCTGTGAGGTCCAGGGTTCAGCCCTTGTTCCTTCCTCCTCTAATCACTCTCAGCAGTCCTCAGCTTATAAATAGCATTTATATGGTGTCACTTCCAAAATCTATTTCTCCACCCAAAACATCTCTCCTAAATTCCAAACGTGTCCCAACTGACAACCTAACTTGAGTTTCTAATAGGCATCCAAATTCAGCATTTCCTCAACTGAATACCCGTATTTTTTTGTTGTTGTTTAGTTACTAAGTCGTGTCCAACTCTTTTGTGACCCCCATGGACTATAACCCACAAGGCTTCTCTATCTATGGGATTTTCCAGGCAAGAATACTGGAGTGGGTTGCCATTTCCTTCTCCAGGGAATCTTCCAGACCCAGGGATCGAACCCACGACTCTTGGGTCTCCTGCATTGGCAGGTGGATTCTTTACCACTGAGCCACTTGCATAGTCTGAAAGTCTGGGTGTCCTCTTTCTCACAACTCAGCCTTAATCCATTAGGAAATGCTGTAAAGTCCATCTTTAGATAGATCCAGTTCTGGTCACTCTGCAATATTTTCCCTGCGCACAGAGACAAGCACCATCTCCAGCCAGGACACTGCACTATGTCTACAGTCTCCACTACTGCCTTGTTCACCCTTCACTTCTTAGCTCTGTCCTCAGCACAGCAGCCAGACTGATGCTTCTAAAAAGAAGTCATACCAGGTTCCTCTTCTCCCAAAACTGTCTTGGAGCGATACTGTCTTCCTCAGAGAAAAGTCAATCTAATGTTCTCAAAGCCCACATGATCTGGGCGCACATGAGACCTCATCTGAATTCTTCGCTCCACCAGCCACACCTGCCTCCTCTTCACTCTTCCTTGAACACAGACGCTCTCCTGCCCTTCTGCATTTGCACAGAAGCTCCTCTGCCTGGAGAGAACATCTCCCAGACATCCTTGTGGGCATTCCCTCATGTCCTTCACATCTTTAGTCAAAGGTCAGCTTCTCAATGAGGCCCACTGACCACCCTAGTAACACAGCCACCTTTCCTGTCCCACACACTCATACTCTGGGTCACCTTCCTCAGAACACTTACCAACCTCTAAGGGAAACACTCCCTCACTTACTAGCCTCATAATGCACACTCTGCCCCTTCTCACTAGAGCAAGCTCCACAGGCCAAAACTTTGCCTGACTTTGGTTTTCTGAAATTTCTTAGATACAAAAATAATGTGTGATGTATCTGACACAACACATAGATTAGGTGAATGAATGATAAGTGGACAGCACCTCTGTATTCTGTTGAACTTTGTGCAACCTCATGGAATGTAGCCCACCAGGCTCCTCTGTCCATGGGATTTTCCAGGCAAGAATACTGGAGTGGATTGCCATTTCCTTCTCCAAGGGATCTTCATGACCCAGGGATCAAACCCGGGTCTCCTGCATTGTGGGCAGACTCTTTACCATCTGAGTCACCAGGGAAGTCCATATTCTAAAGGCAGTATCTTTATTAACGTAGCCTAAGGCCACATGCTGTCTTGCGGCAGCTACAGCACAACGTTCACTCTGACTGGTGTCAATGCTGCCTTGCTTTTCTCACAAGTGCCGCTCTCCCTTCCTCCCCCAGCTCCTTCCTCCCACAGCAACCCTCCTGCACACCACAGCACACAAATTCATGTCCCACTCGAGAAAGCAATGGTCCCTGACCTATGGGTCCTATTTCCCAAACCACTGCAAGTTTAAATTAGACTCAGCTTTACAAATCCATGAGTCTGGATTTGAGCCAGCACTAGCACTTCTAGAGCTAAGAGCACAGAACACAGTCTTGGAAGGAGGGTAAGAGCTGGATGAGTCATTTCTGTAGACCAAAGGCACTACAGTGAGCAGGGGCCTCCTGAGCCTTGTGGGGACAATAACAGGCAAAAGTTACTCCTGCTCCTGTAGAGATGGGGGGCACCTAGAGGAAATTAAGACTAGAATTCATATGCAAGAACAAGAGGAGGAGTAATTCTCTATAGAAATAAAGAAAAAAGAAATCAACACCTAAAAGACGAGGACTGAGGACCAGACCCAGTCCTGAGTCCTGGTTGACCCAGCCACATAAGGTCCTCACTGGCCACAGTCCAGAAGACAAGACAAGGTTCAGGTGATGGCTCAGTCCTTGTGATCACAGGTCTTGGTGAGACAAGGTTCTACTGAAGAGACAAGGACAAAGGAGTTGAGAAGATGAGAACAGCAGAAACCATATCAAAGCCCATGATGCTCTGACTGGGCCCAGGCCCCGTCCACACTCAGCTCCTCACAGCCTTCTCCTGCCCCACCTGCAACAGAGTCAGCATAGCAAACACACAGATTTTAAAATGTTCTCAGCACTTCCATTCATTTCTCGCAAAATTTAAGAATCTTCCTAGCCTTTAATTAACCCACCAGCCCCACCTCATGACAAGAATCATAAAAAACAAATTCAGGACTCCCCTGGTGGTCCAGTGTTTAAGAATCCACCTGCCAATGCAGGAGACACAGGTTCGATCCCTGCCCCGGGAAGATTCCACATGCCATGGAGCAATTAAGTCTGTGAGCCACTACTACTGAACAGAAGCCATTGTAATGAGAAGCCCATGCACCACAACTAGAGAAAGCCAGTGGCAGCAACAAAGACTCAGGGCCAAGAATAAATAAATAAATAGAAAAAATGAATTCATATCCAGATTCCTATTTTCAATAAGGAGTAAGAAGTTGCAATTCAGTGTAACATGGAGTTAAGACAAGGATGGAGATTGCCCGGTCCCACCTCATCACAAAGGAGGAGGGTGGGGGGCATAAACAAACCTTGTATCACTCAGTTCCAGACAAAGCCATTCTCTTAGACTGTGAAAGAAAATAATCATGGACAAATTCAGGTCAATCATCATAAGCGGTCATTCTCAATAGCCTCCCACCCATATGCTCAAAATGTCTCATCAAAGACTCTCCATCACCCCATGTGTCCCCTCTGCCCCAAGTTCTCTCCCATTGGGGGTCCCTTAAGAGTCTCACTTTTAGGATCAGTGAGAACATCAGAGCCCAGAGCACTGTTGCTGCCTGGGGGAGAACAATCCAGAACCTGGCGGGAGTCCAGAGATGGGGTTAAAGAAGGAATCATGGGGTGGGTGAGCTCCCCCATCGGCTCCCATGTGCACTATTCCAAGGATCTCAGGGTTTGCCATCAGACCCTACCTGTGCTCGGTACTTACTTGCAGTCTGAGAGTAGATTCTATTTTTCCAACTTGGAGAGTGATAATATCCTGTGAGAAGTCAGGCAGAAAACAGGTCATGAGCCCCTAAAGAAACCACCTAGTCCCAGACCCCAGGGAAGTTTCCAGAACTGTGACTGAAAACCCAGGGCAGGACCAAAACCATGAAGAAAGAAGGTGTGCAGGGCCTGAACCAACCACCTGCCCAGAGGCCTGTCCTCACAGTGACCTTCCCTGACCTTCAGTGTCCCCATCACCAGATTCATCATGTTGATACTGGTCTCCATTTTCACATGTACCTTACAAAGAATAAGTGCAAGCAAAAAGCTCCAGACTTACCAAGCACACGTGTGTGGAGGTTACTTTCCAGTAACGAGGCAGGCAAACTTCTACCTGGGTTTGAAACCCAGAGACAAAACTCAGATCACCCCCTCCCTTCCCTACCTGAGTGCATCTTCCTCCAGATCACATCTCTAATGACCACGAGGAGAACCAGGCCAACAAGGATGCCTGTGATGGGAACGGAGATCTTCAGAGTTTCTGTGGAAGAAAGGAAAGGGGCCCTGACCTCAGGCATGAATCCTAACCTTGCTGAAGTTCTCCTGAAGGCTCCTGATTACCTGATAATAAGGTTGACCATCCATCCCCCTCCTTATCCCATCTCAGGGTGAGGGGCTCCTGAAGCCCCTCGTGCTGCACATGACACGTGTATTTCTGCTCCTCTCCAGAAGGCAACATCAGGGCTGCCCACTTCTGGAAGGTTCCATCTCCTGAAGGCCTGGTCTCCACAAGCTCCATGTCCTGGGTCTGGTCCTCCCCATTGCGCTGCCAGGTCAGTGAGATCTCCGCAGGGTAGAAGCCCAGGGCCCAGCACCTCAGGGTGACCTCACGGTCAGAGATGCGGTGATGAGTCATGTATGTTTTGGGGGGCTCTATGGTACACAAAGCAGGGAGGGCTCAGGCAAGGGTTTGCTGAGTAGCGTCGACTCCAAAGACCAACCCACCACAACTCCTGATGGCTCATCTGCCAACCAGTCGGAGAAAGGGAACTTCCTCTATCTAAGGGTTGAGGGACCCGCAGTAAGCTGAACCAGCTTCACGACAAGGGTGTGGGAACTCAGTCTAACCTTCTCCCCCAGAATAAGAGCCCCTTCAAAGCCGCTTGACTCTTTTATCAAGTCTTTGGTCAATGTTTGCTAGATACACGTGTGTATCTAGTGGGAAAGTGCCATAAGGAAGAAAAATCTCCAAGATTCTGTGAAGCAGCTCTGTGTCCTCCTAAGAGTAGTTTCCCTGGCACTAATAAGAATGAGTGGCTCAGGGGACTTCCCTGGTGGTCCAGTGGTTAATACTCCATGCTCCCACTGCAGGGGTTTTGGGTTCAATTCCTGGTCAGGGAAGTAAGATTCCACATACTGTGAGGTGTGGTCAAAAGAAAATCAAAATCAAAAATCCAACATTGTGAATCAACTATACTTCAGCAAAATAAATTTTAAAAAAATGAAAAATAAAGAATGGGTGGATCAGATGGCACTGCCCAGGAGACTCAAAATAGGAAGCCCCCCCACTCCACATCTGTGACTTATAGGGAAGTCATCATCAGCACATTGGCCCCAGCCATCCCACATTAAATATCTCACACCCCTGTGCTGAGTCAGTTCTGGAAAAGACACCCTCACCCACACTCTGCAGAGAAAATGGCCCAAGCTGGGGATGCGGGAAGGGCTGAGTGGGTGGGCTGTGTGAAGTCATTACCAGTGCGGTTCAAGGTCTCCCCTCCAAACGTCAAGTATCTCCACAACCACAGGATGCACTCCTTCTCCAAGTAGTTCTTGTCTCTCTCTACGTAGTTCCCACCGGCCTCCCACTTTTGTTTGGTGTATTGAGCAATGAATGTGGCTGCTGTGTACTGCAGAGGGTCCATATGCAAGGTCAGGTAGTCCTCACCGTCATAGCCATACTGCCAGTGCCACGTGGTCCTGCCGTCCTCCAGGAGCTCACAGCCGTAGGTGAACTGGAGGGTGTGGGGACCTGCCCAGCCCCAGGACAGTGGTATCAGTCAGTGTCAGTCAGGCACAGTCTGCCCCCAAGGCCTCCCACCCATGGTGCCAGCCCCCACCTTCCCATCTCTTATCTTCTCCTTAGAGGACATTCAAATTCCATAGACAAACTAGTTTTGCCCTAATAACGATCTCTTTTACTTACAGTCAGTTCTGCTGTGAGGAATGGTCTATGGTTGCTCCCAGGAGGTATTGAAAAGGCCGTGGATTGGGAGTTACAGATTTGAACTCTGCCATGAACTGTGTCATCTGGGCAAGTTATTCATTCTATGTTTATCTTGTATAAATAGAGGGTTAGATTATGACCTAACAGGTCTCTTTTAGGCTAACAGCCTCAGATTCTAAGCTAAAGTTCCTGAAAACAGGACCACACTTCACAGTATTAACACAGGAGGGCACAGTGTCCTGAGTAGTTTTCCTTGAGAGCTATGGACCAAATTTTATCCCTCCAATATTCATATGTTGAACCCCTAACCCTTGATATAACTGTATTCGGAGATTCTAGGAAGTAATTCAGTTTAAATAAGGTCATGAGAGTGGCGCCCTAATCCAACAGGGATAAGAGGGGTTAAGGAGATCTCTCCCTCACTCCACAGGCACACACCAAGGAAAGAGAGAATGTACCGACTACAAGCCAAGAAGTGAGCCCTCACCACAGAGAACCCTGCTGAACCTTGACCTTGGACTTTCCAGTCTCTCGAACAGTCAGAAGATAAATTTCTGGTGCTTAGATCATGCAGTCTGTGGTATTTTGTCATGGTAGGCCAAGCAGACTAATATTCATACTGTTGTTGTTTAATCGCTAAGTCAGGTCACTTGCTATTTGTCACTAAGCTGTGTCTGACTCTTGCAATCCAACTTAGTGACTAAAGGACAACAACACAAGACACTAGAGAAAGCAAATAGCATCAACAAGCCCAAACTGCTGAAAAATTTCTCAAATGAATTTCAAAGTCAAATATGAATAAATCTGAGATCACTGCAGCCTGGATTCAACACACACGCTTCTGGGTTTCCACAGATTCCCAGCTCAAGTTCCTAGTCTAACACTTGTATACTCTAACTTTATTGTGTACCATCACTCTCTTCTTATACTGTGAGCCCTTGAAAGGCAGGGTCTACATCAGTGCCTGTAAAGTAACCATCGGATAAACCTTTGTTGAATTCATGTCCCTAGAAGGATCAACTAGTAAAAGCTGAGCAGCCTCAGTATTCAGCTTGAATTATACTTCTCACTGGCTTATGCCTTGATTGGGCTTCAAGGCCCTTTATAAACTTGTTTCAACAGACCTAAACTCTCAAGAGCCATTAACTAGAAATGATTAAATTTCAATCCATCCCCTGAGCTCACAAAGACAAATCCTACCCCACGCCTTGCTCCACCCTAATTTCCTACTGCTTTAAACATCTTTTATGTTATTCATAGACCTAAGTAATACACATCCACCAGGTTCTATATAAAGTTCTGCCTCATTCATGAAACTCTGACCACTGGGGTATCTCATCTATGAATCTCAGTAAACTATGGCATTTAAGGAGGTTCCTGTCTTTGACATCTCTGGGTATGCAGTGAAGGGTCAAAAAAGCTTTTCACAGAAGTGTGAGTACCTTCCCATATGAATTATAAGCTCTTTGAAGACAAACATCAGTTTATACTTTTCTGGATCCCCATTTCTAGCACTCAAAAGATGTTCAGCATATATCCATGACCCAATAAAACTGCTTAATTAATCTATTAATTCTTGTCACACAGACCCTACGCCATTGTGACCAGACCAACTCAGCTTTCATTCTCAAGTGATAACTTGTACAAGTTCTTCTGCCCCAGCCTGATCCTATGGGAACACTTGTTGACAGCCTTTCACCGCTGGGGATTGGTAGGAAGTGACAAGCACCACTTCCCTCTGCTTTCTCTGAGGCACCTACTTGCTTGCTTTTGTGCCAGCTCTCTGTTCAGACCATCCTCCTTGGTTTGGTTGTAATATCGCTGCACATTCCTCAGACTTAAGTGGAAAATCTTCATCCGACTTGTGAAGATCTTGGTCTCATCATCAAAGTAACTTGGCTCCTCCCTCAACCAGTGAACACAAGACTTTGCCTTCATCTCTTCACTGTCATAGCGAATGAAGGGCTGGTTGTCCACGAAGCCAAAAGCCATAAATGAAGGGACTCCTGGACCCGGTTCAGACACAACTGAGTAGAAATACTGCAGAGAGTGTGATCCTGAGGTGAGAACAAGCGACAGTGGGTCAGAGCGAGCTCCAGAATTTACTGCATGAGGATCTAGGGAATGAACGTGTGTCTCATAGGAGACATGGCACAACATAAAACAATGAAAAGACAATTACAACCCTCTGCAGAAGAGAATTTAAACTGAACACAGAGTATGCACTGGGAGAATTTGAATAAATTAATGTACACACATATGTATACACATATATGTATGCACTATGCAAATATTTATATGTATGTAACAACAACAATATACACATATAAATATTTGTACAGTGCTGCCGTCTATGGGGTCACACAGAGTCGGACATGACTGAAGCGACTTAGCAGCAGCAGCAACAACAATAATATATTTACATATATACAGAGTAAGATTGATTTACTTTAAGGAATTAGCTCATGTAATTTTACAGGGCTGGCAAGTCCAAATCTGCAGGGCAGAGCTGCATGCTGGATACCTAAGGAAGACACTATATTGCAGTTTATGTCCAAAGGCAGTCTGAAAGTAGAATTCAGTCTGGAAGTAGACAGGAGACCTGTCTTCCCCTTAAGGCCTTCAACTGATCAGATAAGGCCTACCCACATTACCAGCTAGGGCAGTAGTCCGAACCTTTTTGGAACCAGTTTCATGGAAGACAATTTTTCCATGGCCCCGGGGGGGGGGGGGGGGGGGGCGGGGGGCGGGCGGGGATGAGAACGAAGTGCAAATTTTTAAAAAGTACAATTGCTTTACAACATCGTGTTGATTTCAGGTGTACAACATAGTGATTCAGTATTCTGAAAGACATATTCCATAACAGATTAAAGATAGTGTGTATAATTCCCTGTGCTATACAACAAATCCTTGTTGCTTATCTACTCTTTACTTAGTTTGTATCTACTAAACCCACATCCCCAATTTGCCCCTCCTCTGTTCTCTCCTCTTTGTAATCTCAAATTTTATTTCTACGTCTGTGAGTCTGTTTCTGTTTTGTAGGTACATTCATTTGTATTAAATTCCATATATGCTGCTGCTGCTGCTGCTAAGTCACTTCAGTCGTGTCCAGCTCTGTGTGACCCCATAGACAGCAGCCCACCAGGCTCCCCTGTCCCTGGGATTCTCCAGGCAAGAACACTGGAGTGGGTTGCCATTTCCTTCTCCAAAGCATGAAAGTGAAAGTGAAGTCTCTCAGTCGTGTCCGACTCTTAGTGACCCATGGACTGTAGCCTACCAGGCTCCTCCGTCCATGGGATTTTCCAGGCAAGAGTACTGGAGTGGGGTGCCATTGCCTTCTCCAAAATTCCATATATAAGTAATCTCAAATAGTATTTTTGTCTGACATTTCACTAAATATAATATTTTCTAGGTCTAGTCACACTGCTATAAATGGCAGTTAAAATATACATTTTAATTTATGAAGTTGTATTGAACATAATTCCATGTTTATCTGCCAGTTGAATTCATTCTTCTGTAAATTATTTATTCATAGCATTTCTGTTTTTAACAGCATTGTTCCTTTTTCAGAAGAACCTCTGCACTTCTACCCCTTGGCATGGGCTCCTTCTCTGATGAACAAAGTCCCTCTCACTGTGAACTGACTCTGACCCCACTCAGATCTAGACTCCATTGAGAAGCACCTAGGCAGTTCAGAGGTCATTCCTGAGGACCCAGTGGACATGCAAGCCAGCAGTCCCTATCTGCTTTCTGCTGATCCCTACTGTGACCCTGCACCTAACAGGGGCTATGCAGGGAGCAAGGCTGTGGTTAGATGTTCAGAGACACTGAACTCCAGGGAATGATTGTGGAGTGGGAAAACAGCAACAAAAACAAGAGCAAAAGGAAGACTGAATGCAAACTCCCCTTTATTCTTTCTAAGGCTCAGCCAAGCAGCCATAGGCTGGGTGACTTTCCATTTAGGCAAATAGGAAATGTATAAATATGGAAATGTTTACACCATACTCCTATTAAAGCACTTACCGTACCACTTATGCCTGCACAAAAATTGTTTCCTAAAAATTATCATTGTGTTGGAGCATTTCCTCTGTGGTCTGCTGTTAATTCTTTTAATGACTATATGAAGTAGCTGCTTAAATTCCATGTTAGAGGTGAGAAAACTGCAGGTTAGTAGCAAAGCTTTATTTAGAACCCATTTCGCCTTCTCTCTTGCTCAGAAATAGGTAAGACAAAAAAATTCACCCTGCCAGATATGTTTCAGATATGTCAATTCACATAAATTCAGATATGTCAAGAATTTGTTTCATTTTCCATGAGGCTTTACTTGTTGGTCTGGAAACATTTTACCCAGTAATTAAGTCATGAGTCTGGCTTTCCTTCTGGTTTTCTTGGTACACTTCTAGAGTCTGGAGTGCAACAATAGCTGCTGAGAAACTGTGCTAGGAGACCTATGTCTGGGAACAATGGTTTTGCAAACAATCTGCATATAGGAAAATACAAAAATTGTAGCTTAGTGGGTGGTGAGAGTTTTGCATCTTGTCCCTATGGGGTTTTCCTGGATGAGCCATACTTAAACGAATATGTCAGTGAAGCCCTTTCTCCATATGAATAAAAGATGAATGTGTGTGCCACGTTATCTTCTTTGAGCTCTGTCATTAATCAAGCCTGTGATCAATTTTTTTAAAGTTATTTAAAATATTTTGTCTCATCTTTTTGGATTTGTTTCTGTAAATTTGTGTACTCTACATAATGTATTGGTATAATGGAACATATACATACTTTGTAAATAAATAAACACACTTGAAATTGTCAAGAAAGATGATCTAAAACCTTGGATACCATCCATCCCAAATTTTTGCTTCTGGCTTTGCCCTTCGAAAGGCTTTAAAAATGAAAGTTAGTGTTATCCGCTCCGTCCTGAACGACTGCATAGACTGTTCAGTTCAGTTCAGTCGCTCAGTCGTGTCCGACTCTTTGCGACCCCACATAGACTGTAGCCAACCAAAATCCTAGGGGACTCTCCAGGCAAGAAAACTGGAGTGGGAAACCAGGAATATCTATTCTGAGCAAGAGTACAGAATTATGACTTCTGATTTGGTTCAGAGATCTGCCAACTTCTTTCCTGTTTACATCGGTGCTGCTGCTGCTGCTGCTGCTAAGTCGCTTCAGTCGTGTTCGACTCTGTGTGACCCCAAAGACGGCAGCCCACCAGGCTCCTCCGTCCCTGGGATTCTCCAGGCAAGAAAACTGAAGTGGGTTGCCATTTCCTTCTCTTGTTTACACTAGCTGCCCTTATTGACAGACCCCGCACAAATAATAAGCCAGTGACGGCCTGCACCAAGATTTTGGAGTCACCACTGAGCTCCCAATGCTCTGAAAAATCCCACTCTCGGCCGGTTTCGGCTTCTTCTCCCGCTGTCCCAGCCCGCCACCCCTCGCTCCCAACTCACGGGTTTGTGTCTCTGGCAGGAATGCCAGGAAGAAATGCAAGAGGACAGGGGCCCAGGGCATCGCCTTAGCTGTTCCGATTGGCCCCCAGCACGGCTGGGATGCGGCACACAGGTCAGAAACCACCGGCCTCACTCCAGCTCTGGACCGCAGTTGGGGCGGCGCCTTACAGAAACTGGAACCGCGAAAGCGCAAGAAAGAGTAGGGGTGGGGTGGAAACTAACACAGAGCACCACTCAGCGATAAGCTCGTCATGAAAACACCATCTGGGCAAGAACATTTGGAGAAAACGAAAGCCCCAGCATATGGCATCCCGCATAGCCGATACCACAGCAAGTCAGCCAGTAGCCCAGGTCTAGACGGGACCCACCCGCTTGGACTTCAGATCCTAGGCGGGCCTCTCCGCTTCGGAGCTTTGGTTTCTTCCTCATCCAAATGCAAAAAAGGTTAATCTGTATTTGGAAAACTACGGAGAAGTTAAAAGTGACTAGCAGCTTGGAAAAATTTAGCCATATATATGTTAAGTGGGGGAACGTGATAAATAATTAAAACTGAATTGGTAGCCATGTCAAAAAAACACGGAGCATTAAGGAATCCCCTGGCGGTCCAGTGGACTAGGCGTTTTCCCTGATAAGGACCGCGGGGCAAGAAAAAAAAAAATTACATATTTAGGGAGAAAATCGTCAATAATGACACAAACATAAGGTTCTCACTGGGGTGATTTTTTTTTTCCCCTCCAAGTTTTATGGTATGAAGTGCCACTCATTTAAAATGTCCCTTCAGTCACACTGGCAGTCCTTTATCAGTACAAACATATATCAAATCATCATGTCCTCCACCTTTAATGCATATGTTATAGGTTAATTTTATCTGAAACACCGGAGGGAAAATAAAATGTCCAATTAAAATAAATCCAGTAGGATTATTGTTTAAGCCAGAAACTACTATGAGGAATTTGGGAGGGGCGGTCCCTTCCCCTGCTCTGGAGGAAATGAGACAGCCATTGAGTCAGAGTGGCCTCAGAGTAAGCTCTTTTCCATGGTTTGGCAGTTTAAGGGGAAAAGATTCAAACGCCCACAGTGAGGTTGAGGCAGGATGGTAGAGACTGGGACAAGGACATGGAGCCGAAAGATGAAAAAACTAAAGGACATCACCTTTCCGTCTCCTCCTGGCTTTTTGTCATCTGGAGAGTCTGAGAATTTTTATAAGCCAACCTTGGTTCCTCTTTATCTCCTTCCTCTGACATGTTATTGTAACATAAACAGGAACTTTTTAAACAGGAACTTTCTGCGCACCAACACTTTGCTCAGAAATCTCCTTAGCTATATAACCAGGTTCATTTCTTAAAATTCTGCTTCCCCCATAACTGCAGGGGATAATTTAGCTGAGCTTTCCACTACTATCAATACTTAACAAAGATTTACCCCTTTTCTAGTTTCCAATAAGATGTTCCTCATTTTCTTCTGAACTCTCACTGGCAGAGTTCTCAAAGCCCTGGTTTCTACCAAATCTGTTCACAGAAATGTAGGCTTTCTCCAACATGCTTTTCTTTCGGCAGTGCAGCAAGGCTTGCAGGATCTTAGTTCCCCAACCAGGGATCAAACCCAGC